ACAACCAGCTATGACTTGCTATGAGTTGGTTGAGGACCTATGCTCCATGTGAGGACTTGCCATGAGTTGGTTGAGGACCTATGCTCCATGTGGGGACTTGCCATGAGTTGGTTGAGGACCTATGCTCCATGTGGGGACTTGCTATGAGTTGGTTGAGGACCTATGCTCCATGTGAGGACTTGCCATGAGTTGGTTGAGGACCTATGCTCCATGTGGGGACTTGCCATGAGTTGCTTAAGGACCTATGCTCCATGTGAGGACTTGCCATGAGTTGGTTGAGGACCTATGCTCCATGTGGGGACTTGCTATGAGTTGGTTGAGGACCTATGCTCCATGTGGGGACTTGCTATGAGTTGGTTGAGGACCTATGCTCCATGTGGGGACTTGCTATGAGTTGGTTGAGGACCTAAGCTCCATGTGAGGACTTGCCATGAGTTGGTTGAGGACCTATGCTCCATGTGGGGACTTGCTATGAGTTGGTTGAGGACCTATGCTCCATGTGGGGACTTGCTATGAGTTGGTTGAGGACCTATGCTCCATGTGGGGACTTGCTATGAGTTGGTTGAGGACCTATGCTCCATGTGGGGACTTGCTATGAGTTGGTTGAGGACCTAAGCTCCATGTGAGGACTTGCCATGAGTTGGTTGAGGACCTATGCTCCATGTGGGGACTTGCTATGAGTTGGTTGAGGACCTATGCTCCATGTGGGGACTTGCTATGAGTTGCTTAAGGACCTATGCTCCATGTGAGGACTTGCCATGAGTTGGTTGAGGACCTATGCTCCATGTGGGGACTTGCTATGAGTTGGTTGAGGACCTATGCTCCATGTGGGGACTTGCTATGAGTTGGTTGAGGACCTATGCTCCATGTGGGGACTTGCTATGAGTTGGTTGAGGACCTATGCTCCATGTGGGGACTTGCTATGAGTTGGTTGAGGACCTATGCTCCATGTGGGGACTTGCTATGAGTTGGTTGAGGACCTAAGCTCCATGTGAGGACTTGCCATGAGTTGGTTGAGGACCTATGCTCCATGTGGGGACTTGCTATGAGTTGGTTGAGGACCTATGCTCCATGTGGGGACTTGCTATGAGTTGGTTGAGGACCTATGCTCCATGTGGGGACTTGCCATGAGTTGGTTGAGGACCTATGCTCCATGTGGGGAATAAATGGCAGAGGAAGAGAGAAAACTAAGAGAAATTAAACAATAAGTAGAGCTATTTGTGTTACAATAATCAACATAGAAATAATTTGAAATGTTTCATTAAATACTTAAAAAGGAGGAAGGATGGGCCAGTCCTTTAACAGATTTTCTAGAGAGAGGGGTGGGCCAGCCCTTTTACACATTTTCTAGAGAGAAGGATAAGCCAGCCTTTTTACACATTTTCTAGAGAGAAGGGTAGGCCAACCCTTTTTACACATTTTCTAGACAGGAAGCCATTAAGTTTTGCCACCAGTTAGTTGTTTCAGCCTGAGTTAAAAGTAGCTATGTTTCCATGTTCTCCCATATCAAACACTTTCTGCACCAAAATCTCTCATGTATTGCAGGCTGGCAAGGGAGTCAGTGCACCGAGGACACTGACGAATGTGCTCTGGGTTTTTGTGTCAGAGGCACATGCAAAAATACTCCTGGAGATTACAGCTGCGACTGTCCAGAACATTACACAGGTGAATCATTGATCACTGACTGACTGACTCGCGTTTTACCCCACCAGGACCACATAATAACAAACAACCAACACCTGGTGACACAAAGTGCTACCATTCAGATGAGCATCACCAAGGCACATATCTTAGAAACCCTGTTTAACCCTTAGGATATATTTACTACCCCCCTCCCCCTCCCTTACAGATAGGGTGGGGCTTTTAAAAAAATGCATCCCATATTTGGACATAAATTAGTCATGTAATCTGTCATAAAAAATTATCAATCCAAATAAGAAAAAGAACAGCTTCACAAAACACAATAACAAACAATGAGATGGACGTTGTGGCCAGAAAGCCTTCATCAGCATATGCAATAAATAACAAACAAAGTCTCCATCTGTTGTTAAACAGTATAAGCTCTGTGTCACCTCTTGCATAGGAACAATTGGTAGATGGTTATGACTGGAAGGAGGAGATATAACATGCATTCTTAATAACATTTCACTGTTGGACATAACGGGCAAAGATGTGTTATATTATGTTATCACAACTGATGTCACTGCACATTCCAATGCGTACTCAGTCCTCAAATGCAGCAGCCACTCCAAAGTACTTCTACTGATTTTTCCCATGAGAAGGTGGTTATATTGTCTCCTATCTCAGCCTCGAAGACGGCAGAGACGTTCTTCACCATGCTTTACTCCCTTGTCACGCAATAGTGTTAGTGTCAGGGATTCCTCATTATCCATTAGCCCAGTTCGTACAGCGTTGACGATATCTGCTCTCTCCATGCTTCTTACCACTTGCCTTAGTGCAATGCTTTCCTATTGGTCTGCTCGCTCATTTCTCTTTATGCCCTCATGACCAGGTGTGTAGATCCAGGTGAGGGAGTTTGAACGTGATTTTCAAATGCATGTAAGTTGATCATCCCACGATGTTGGAGATCCCATGATATGGAAAAATGTGATCACCAGTACCAGTCAACTAGTTGTTTCATGATGATGATAATGATGATAGTGATGATAATGATGATAGTGATGATAATGATGATAGTGATGATAATGATGATAGTGGTGGTGGTGGTGACGATGCTGATGATTATAGACAGGTATAGTGTTGAGAAATATACAATGGACAATTTCTAATGTTCAGTAATTCTCTGTCTGTCTGTCTTGTCTGTCTGTCTGTCTGTCTGTCTGTCTGTCTGTCTGTCTGTCTGTCTGTCTGTCTGTCTGTCTGTCTGTCTGTCTGTCTGTCTGTCTGTCTGTCTCTCTCTCTCTCTCTCTCTCCCTCTCTCTATCTCTTTCCCTCTCTGTCTCTCTCTTTCTATATATGTATACACACACACACACACTTTATGTATAAAGTATTTAACAAAAATGTACTAACGTAAACGTAACCCAAATTTATTATTGACCTGTGTAAAACTTATTGCTGGTGTTACTGATTTGTTATTATAACGTTGGTCTCCCCAAACAAAGTAGGTCACGTTTCAACATTTCATTCATAAGTTGAGCTGGTCTACTTTTCTGCAGGTTACGGGTGTGCTGCTCTGTTGTTTGCTTTCTGTGTTGTCTTGCATTTATGTTTTTATTCCGAGAAAGAGAATGCCTGTGACATAGGTTGCAGCACTCTCTAGAGGGGTTGTGTTAGACCCAGTTTGTGCATGTCTTTGGAGTGTTAAAAGTGCTGGCATGCTGAAATATACAACATGCGATATCAACGACATTGTGGGGGGGGGGGGACCCCAGTAACCTTGTGCCAAGGTTGCATGGCTTAAGGTCTACCAATCAGGAGTGAGCTAGTCTGTATATGGGTGGTCTGTGGGGAGACCAACGTTAGTTTTACTGATTTGTTTTTCAGTAACCCTAATAAGGTCAAGACCTATTTCTTTAGAGTTCTCTAGGTGAAAGGATCAATAAGGTCCGAAATAATTGTCTCTTTTGTTTAATTATTCCAGCAATTTTTGTTTTCATTCTTACACCAGATTGTCTATAGTTTTTTTTTTCTCTCTAAATTTATTATTTTTCTACTGTTTCCTTCTTTTTCCCCTAGCATTTTGAACCTTTGAGATTCAATGCTGCCTCAATTTGTCCCTATGATTGGTCTTCTCTTCACAGCTTTAAAAAATGAAAACAGTACAGATCTTCTAATGTGTCTCGTGTTGTTTGTTTCAGGCAAGAATTGCTCCTATTTGAAGAATCCGTGCCAAGAACAGCCTTGTCTAAATGGTGGCACTTGTTTTGCACATGCTACAGAACATGTCTACATCTGCCAGTGTATGCCAAACTGGGAGGGCATTAACTGTCAGTCACAAAAACCTGCTGCCTGTGTGAGCAATCCTTGCTTGAATAATGGCACATGTAGCAGTAGGCAAGTGAATTGTATTCTTTATTTATGTTTTGTTTTCCTCAGATGACGATTTTAAATCTCAGATGATGAAGAAGAAGAAGGAAGAGGAGGAGGAGAAAAAGAAAAATAAGAAGAAGAACAATATCAACATTAATAAAAACAACAACCACAAAAACAAAAGCAGCAGCAAAAACAACAACATGTACATAAAAGTTGAACGAGTGCAAGGATGTAGTAGGGAAGAAAGGAGAGGATAAGGAAAAATACATCATAATTGTTAACATTCTAAAACAATAAGTTTGCATGTAATATAGAATTAGCCTATTTCCTTAGACCTCAGCCATCCTGAAAAGTGTTATCCTGTGTTTTATCTTTGGCTAAAACATACTAAAACATCTGGCTAACGCCCAGGTGATCTGATTATTTATACAGATGGTTTGGTGTTGAGAGGAAAGCGAAGTGCCAGGGGGTTAGTAGCGAAAGCCAAAGGAAAATCTTTAGTGCAAGACAGCCTGGCATACGACACTACAATGTCTAGGATGAGAGTGGAGGTGGAGGCGGTAACTGCAGCTTTCCGGTGACTAGAGAGCAAGATGCACACACAGGTCATAATTTTAACAGACCCTGAAAGCATGCTGAGAAAGGCGAAGACAGGGATGCTTCGAATAGAGTGGCAAGCTTCACTGGAAAGGTCACAGTAGTAAGCATACTTTGGATCTTTTCTCCAGGCTATGCCAGCGTGGTGGGTAATGAACAGGCAGAGTGGCTGTATCTGCACCACTGGGTGGTCAACTGATACAAGACAAGGCAGATGTGGTCAAGGCCCTGTAGAAACAAGCAACAGAATCAGTAGATATAGAAGATTATTATTGCCCGGAGAGAATGAGGCACCTGGGTGTAACCAGAGGGTATGGCTGGCTCAATACACTCAGAGGACAGGCAAGACGGACATATAACCAGATTGTGACAGGTACCATTAGTATTGAAACTCTGCCCTGGAATACCCAGAGGGCTGTGATGTCAGTTCTTGACTCAACTTAACTCAACTGGCAAGCTTTGTTACCATGCTAAATGTGTATTTCTCCTGTTTGAGAAAAGGATGTAGCTCCCTCTTAAGCTGAAAGAGTCAATGGTAACTGACTGAATTTATCAGATGCAGTCTCCACAAGGAAAGCTTCCTGGAATGAATCTCCAGTCTCTAGTTGACACTTTCTCAGGCTGCTGTCTGTCCATCTCTTTATGTTATCCTTCTGCTTGTATCACTGTCTATTTCTTGCTTGCTTGCCGTAAACCAGAGGCTGACAGAAAAAAACCTGAATGAGTTGACAGAATGACGCATAAGAGATTCCTCTTCTTTCATCCAACGATGTAACTGTATTTACAGCATTGCTGCAATATTTGCACCTTTCAACTGACACATCTGGCTTCTGCAGGTCCTTGTTGTCCAGTTAGTCTTCCTGGATCAGAGATTCCAGAGTAGAACTTTTCAAGAACAAACAGAACAGTCAACTGTGAAGACTACTGTCACCTAGACCAGCCGAGGTAGCGCACATTTGAATGATGAGGCAGATCTAACAGACTATTGTTTGTTTCTGAGGCCATTATGAAATGTAGAAAATAGTAACACTGTAACATGCCAAACATGTCATATGAGGCAACAAAGGAAGTTTAGTCATTGGGTTGGATACAAACATCTACATTGGAAGTAGAAAGCTTCATTCACTAGAGACATATGATATCAATTTTTATTCTAGTTCAAACTGATGACATAAAATATATAATCGTTCATAATCATGTGGACAAAATTATACAGTTGGGGGGAGGGGAGGGGGAATCAGGTGTCCAGGCAGCAATCTACACTTAGAGGAAAGGCAAGAAGAAGGTACAATCAGGGGGGGGGGAATCAGGTGTCTAGGCAGCAATCTACACTTAGAGGAAAGGCAAGAAGAAGCTACAATTAGGGGGGGGGGGGGAATCAGATGTCTAGGCAGCAATCTACACTGAGAGGAAAGGCAAGAAGAAGCTACAGTTAGAGGACAGGCAAGAAGAAGCTACAGTTAGAGGACAGGCAAGAAGAAGCTACAGTTAGAGGACAGGCAAGAAGAAGCTACAGTTAGAGGACAGGCAAAAAGAAGCTACAGTTAGAGGAAAGGCAAGAAGAAGCTACAGTTAGAGGACAGGCAAGAAGAAGCTACAGTTAGAGGACAGGCAAAAAGAAGCTACAGTTAGAGGAAAGGCAAGAAGAAGCTACAGTTAAAGGACAGACAAGAAGAAGCTACAGTTAGAGGACAGGCAAGAAGAAGCTACAGTTAGAGGACAGACAAGAAGAAGCTACAGTTAGAGGAAAGGCAAGAAGAAGCTACACTTAGAGGACAGACAAGAAGAAGCTACACTTAGAGGACAGGCAAGAAGAAGCTACACTTAGAGGGCAGGCAAGAAGAAGCTACAGTTAGAGGACAGACAAGAAGAAGCTACAGTTAGAGGACAGGCAAGAAGAAGCTACACTTAGAGGACAGACAAGAAGAAGCTACACTTAGAGGACAGGCAAGAAGAAGCTACAGTTAGAGGACAGACAAGAAGAAGCTACAGTTAGAGGACAGGCAAGAAGAAGCTACACTTAGAGGACAGACAAGAAGAAGCTACACTTAGAGGACAGGCAAGAAGAAGCTACACTTAGAGGACAGACAAGAAGAAGCTACACTTAGAGGACAGGCAAGAAGAAGCTACAGTTAGAGGACAGACAAGAAGAAGCTACAGTTAGAGGACAGGCAAGAAGAAGCTACAGTTAGAGGACAGACAAGAAGAAGCTACACTTAGAGGACAGGCAAGAAGAAGCTACACTTAGAGGACAGACAAGAAGAAGCTACACTTAGAGGACAGGCAAGAAGAAGCTACAGTTAGAGGACAGGCAAGAAGAAGCTACAGTTAGAGGACAGGCAAGAAGAAGCTACACTCAGAGGACAGACAAGAAGAAGCTACACTTAGAGGACAGGCAAGAAGAAGCTACAGTTAGAGGACAGACAAGAAGAAGCTACACTTAGAGGACAGACAAGAAGAAGCTACACTTAGAGGACAGACAAGAAGAAGCTACAGTTAGAGGACAGACAAGAAGAAGCTACACTTAGAGGACAGACAAGAAGAAGCTACAGTTAGAGGACAGACAAGAAGAAGCTACACTTAGAGGACAGGCAAGAAGAAGCTACAGTTAGAGGACAGACAAGAAAAAGCTACACTTAGAGGACAGGCAAGAAGAAGCTACAGTTAGAGGAAAGGCAAGAAGAAGCTACAGTTAGAGGACAGACAAGAAGAAGCTACACTTAGAGGACAGACAAGAAGAAGCTACAGTTAGAGGACAGACAAGAAGAAGCTACACTTAGAGGACAGGCAAGAAGAAGCTACAGTTAGAGGACAGACAAGAAGAAGCTACACTTAGAGGACAGGCAAGAAGAAGCTACAGTTAGAGGACAGACAAGAAGAAGCTACAGTTAGAGTACAGGCAAGAAGAAGCTACAGTTAGAGGACAGGCAAGAAGAAGCTACACTTAGAGGACAAGCAAGAAGAAGCTACAGTTAGAGGAAAGGCAAGAAAAAGCTACAGTTAGAGGACAGGCAAGAAGAAGCTACAGTTAGAGGACAGGCAAGAAGAAGCTACAGTTAGAGGACAGGCAAGAAGAAGCTACAGTTAGAGGACAGGCAAGAAGAAGTTACACTTAGAGGACAGGCAAGAAGAAGCTACAGTTAGAGGACAGGCAAGAAGAAGCTACAGTTAGAGGACAGGCAAGAAGAAGCTACACTTAGAGGACAGGCAAGAAGAAGCTACAGTTAGAGGACAGGCAAGAAGAAGCTACAGTTAGAGGACAGGCAAGAAGAAGCTACACTTAGAGGACAGGCAAGAAGAAGCTACAGTTAGAGGACAGGCAAGAAGAAGCTACACTTAGAGGACAGGCAAGAAGAAGCTACAGTTAGAGGACAGGCAAGAAGAAGCTACGCTTAGAGGACAGGCAAGAAGAAGCTACACTTAGAGGACAGGCAAGAAGAAGCTACAGTTAGAGGAAAGGCAAGAAGAAGTTACAGTTAGAGGACAGGCAAGAAGAAGCTACAGTTAGAGGACAGGCAAGAAGAAGCTACAGTTAGAGGACAGGCAAGAAGAAGCTACAGTTAGAGGACAGGCAAGAAGAAGCTACAGTTAGAGGAAAGGCAAGAAGAAGCTACAGTTAGAGGACAGGCAAGAAAAAGCTACAGTTAGAGGACAGGCAAGAAGAAGCTACAGTTAGAGGACAGGCAAGAAGAAGCTACACTTAGAGGACAGGCAAGAAGAAGCTACAGTTAGAGGACAGGCAAGAAGAAGCTCTACACTTAGAGGACAGGCAAGAAGAAGCTACACTTAGAGGACAGGCAAGAAGAAGCTACAGTTAGAGGACAGGCAAGAAAAAGCTACAGTTAGAGTACAGGCAAGAAGAAGCTACAGTTAGAGTATAGGCAAGAAGAAGCTACAGTTAGAGGACAGGCAAGAAGAAGCTACAGTTAGAGGACAGGCAAGAAGAAGCTACACTTAGAGGACAGGCAAGAAGAAGCTACACTTAGAGGACAGGCAAGAAGAAGCTACACTTAGAGGACAGGCAAGAAGAAGCTACACTTAGAGGACAGGCAAGAAGAAGCTACAGTTAGAGGACAGGCAAGAAGAAGCTACACTTAGAGGACAGGCAAGAAGAAGCTACACTTAGAGGACAGGCAAGAAGAAGCTACAGTTAGAGGACAGGCAAGAAGAAGCTACACTTAGAGGACAGGCAAGAAGAAGCTACACTTAGAGGACAGGCAAGAAGAAGCTACAGTTAGAGGACAGGCAAGAAGAAGCTACAGTTAGAGGACAGGCAAGAAGAAGCTACAGTTAGAGGACAGGCAAGAAGAAGCTACAGTTAGAGGACAGGCAAGAAGAAGCTACACTTAGAGGACAGGCAAAAAGAAGCTACACTTAGAGGACAGGCAAGAAGAAGCTACACTTAGAGGACAGGCAAGAAGAAGCTACACTTAGAGGACAGGCAAGAAGAAGCTACAGTTAGAGGACAGGCAAGAAGAAGCTACACTTAGAGGACAGGCAAGAAGAAGCTACACTTAGAGGACAGGCAAGAAGAAGCTACACTTAGAGGACAGGCAAGAAGAAGCTACACTTAGAGGACAGGCAAGAAGAAGCTACACTTAGAGGACAGGCAAGAAGAAGCTACAGTTAGAGGACAGGCAAGAAGAAGCTACAGTTAGAGGACAGGCAAGAAGAAGCTACAGTTAGAGGACAGGCAAGAAGAAGCTACAGTTAGAGGACAGGCAAAAAGAAGCTACAGTTAGAGGACAGGCAAGAAGAAGCTACACTTAGAGGACAGGCAAGAAGAAGCTACACTTAGAGGACAGGCAAGAAGAAGCTACACTTAGAGGACAGGCAAGAAGAAGTTACAGTTAGAGGACAGGCAAGAAGAAGCTACAGTTAGAGGACAGGCAAGAAAAAGCTACACTTAGAGGACAGGCAAGAAGAAGCTACAGTTAGAGGACAGGCAAGAAGAAGCTACAGTTAGAGGACAGGCAAGAAGAAGCTACACTTAGAGGACAGGCAAGAAGAAGCTACAGTTAGAGGACAGGCAAGAAGAAGCTACAGTTAGAGGACAGGCAAGAAGAATCTACAGCTAGAGGACAGGCAAGAAAAAGCTACAGTTAGAGTACAGGCAAGAAGAAGCTACAGTTAGAGGAAAGGCAAGAAGAAGCTACAGTTTGCTACTGGCATCATTGAAATTGGGAGCTACCATGGTGTAGCAGTTAGAAACTAGCCTGCAGATTAGAAGGTCAGATTGGAAAGTCAGATTGGAAGGTCAGATTGGAAAGTCAGATTGGAAGGTCAGATTGGAAGGTCGGACTGAAAGGTCAGATTGGAAGGTCAGATTGGAAGGTCAGATTGGAAAGTCAGACTGGAAGGTCAGATTGGAAGGTCAGATTGGAAAGTCAGATTGGAAGGTCAGATTGGAAGGTCAGATTGGAAGGTCGGACTTTAAGGTCAGATTGGAAGATCAGATTGGAAGGTCAGATTGGAAAGTCAGACTGGAAGGTCGGACTGGAAGGTAATGGGTTCAGGTCCTGGCAGAGTCAAAAATAACCTAGGCTTCCAGCTGGATCCATCCATGAATGGGTACCAGATGCAGGACTGGTCAGTGAAGGCAGCTGGTTCCATCCTTGAATGGGTACCAGATGCAGGACTGGTCAGGGAAGGCAGCTGGTTCCATCCATGAATGGGTACCAGATGCAGGACTGGTCAGTGAAGGCAGCTGGATCCATCCATGATTAGGTACCAGATGCAAGACTGGTCAGGAAGGCAGCTGGGTCCATCCATGAATGGGTACCAAATGCAGGACTGGTCAGTGAAGGCAGCTGGATCCATCCATGAATGGGTACCAGATGCAGGATTGGTCAGTGAAGGCAGCTGGTTCCATCCATGAATGGGTACCAGATGCAGGACTGGTCAGTAAAGGCAGCTGGATCCATCCATGAATGGGTACCAGATGCAGGACTGGTCAGTGAAGGCAGCTGGATCCATCCATGAATGGGTACCAGATGCAGGACTGGTCAGTGAAGGCAGCTGGTTCCATCCATGAATGGGTACCAGATGCAGGACTGGTTCGTGAAGGCGGCCAGCGTGATGTTGATCAAAACGCTCACTGAGTGCTGATAGGTCTGTCTATAAAATATAGGTCTAGCCTACAAAGGCCTGGAAAAGGTTCGTTTACTTTTACTGATGGAATTGGAACTCTTTGCTGGCTGCTGAAGTTGAGGATAAAGCGCTTATGAGAATGTCCAAAATGCTGTGATGTCAGTTTTTAACTCCTTAACCCAGTTCCACTTATAACATGTATTTATATATTTGCAGCTCTGGCAAGACAAAATACAACTGTTTTTGTGTTGGCCCTTACATTGGTGATAACTGTGAGATTGCTGTAACAACAGTTCAGACAAGTAGGATTCTTTGTTATAGAAAACATATTCCAGCATAAACAGCAAGTCTTAAATTTAACTATCCATTACTATTTATTTTGAGTGGGGTTTTTTTCTGTCTTTTATTCTCTTTTTCTTTGCTTTTTGCTTGTTTACTATTTTAATTTATTTTATTTTTATTATTACTTTAGTTAATTTAATTGCAATTTTTTTAAATTTGAAAACTATATTAATAGTAATAAGCCCAGACTTGTGCCTCCTCCATGTTGTGACTTGTGCCCCCTCCATGTTGTGACTTGTGCCCCCTCCATGTTGTGACTTGTGCCTCCTCCATGTTGTGACTTGTGCCCCTCCATGTTGTGACTTGTGCCCCTCCATGTTGTGACTTGTGCCCCTCCATGTTGTGACTTGTGCCCCTCCATGTTGTGACTTGTGCCCCCTCCATGTTGTGACTTGTGCCTCCTCCATGTTGTGACTTGTGCCCCTCCATGTTGTGACTTGTGCCCCTCCATGTTGTGACTTTTGCCCCTCCATGATGTGACTTGTGCCTCCTCTGTTGTGACTTGTGCCCCTCCATGTTGTGACTTGTGCCCCTCCATGTTGTGACTTGTGCCCCTCCATGTTGTGACTTGTGCCCCTCCATGTTGTGACTTGTGCCCCTCCATGTTGTGACTTGTGCCCCTCCATGTTGTGACTTGTGCCCCTCCATGTTGTGACTTGTGCCCCTCCATGTTGTGACTTGTGCCCCCTCCATGTTGTGACTTGTGCCCCTCCATGTTGTGACTTGTGCCTCCTCCATGTTGTGACTTGTGCCCCTCCATGTTGTGACTTGTGCCCCTCCATGTTGTGACTTGTGCCCCTCCATGTTGTGACTTGTGCCCCCTCCATGTTGTGACTTGTGCCCCTCCATGTTGTGACTTGTGCCTCCTCCATGTTGTGACTTGTGCCTCCTCCATGTTGTGACTTGTGCCCCCTCCATGTTGTGACTTGTGCCCCCTCCATGTTGTGACTTGTGCCCCCTCCATGTTGTGACTTGTGCAGTATTGTCAAAAAAATAAAAATAATAACCATGAGAGCAGTGTTTTCAATAATCAACTGTCTCCCACAAATACCAGACTGTAGTATTTAGGGATCATTGTTCAATGCATTCATTACCCACTTGGCCTTATAGCTGACTAAAAAGAAATGTCTGCTAATGTAATAGGAATTTCTATTACCATGTTTTTATTAAAATACAACTAAAAAAGATACTTTTGAATGATAAAAATGTATGGAACTAAATTTGTAGTAACATTTCTACAGGTTTGAAGACAGAAACTACATCAGAAACGTCGATAAGAATGACCACTGGTAGAAGATATTATTTATTTTTCAACACCTTGCTTGTCATTTATATACTTTACTCTGCTGACTGCTTCTTTTTATGACTCATAATACTGTAGAATGTTTGCCCTTCGACTTCCATGGAAGAACCATGTCAACATTGTAGGTAGTGTAACTCCTACTAGAATACTAACTCGTTATCCACAATACTAACACGTTGTCCAGAATACTAACATATTGTCCAGAATACCACAACATTATCCAGAATACTAACTCATTGTCCAGAATACTAACTCATTGTCCAGAATACTAACATATTGTTCAGAATACTAACTCATTGTCCAGAATACTAACATGTTGTTCAGAATACTAACATATTGTTCAGAATACTAACTCATTGTCCAGAATACTAACATGTTGTTCAGAATACTAACTCATTGTCCAGAATACTAGCATATTGTTCAGAATACTAACTCATTGTCCAGAATACTAACTCATTGTCCAGAATACTAACTCATTGTCCATAATACTAACTCATTGTCCAGAATACTAACTCATTGTCCAGAATACTAACTCATTGTCCAGAATACTAACATATTGTTCAGAATACTAACTCATTGTCCAGAATACTAACTCATTGTCCAGAATACTAACTCATTGTCCAGAATACTAACTCATTGTCCAGAATACTAACATGTTGTTCAGAATACTAACATATTGTTCAGAATACTAACTCATTGTCCAGAATACTAACTCATTGTCCAGAATACTAACATATTGTTCAGAATACTAACTCATTGTCCAGAATACTAACTCATTGTCCAGAATACTAACTCATTGTCCAGAATACTAACTCATTGTCCAGAATACTAACATATTGTTCAGAATACTAACTCATTGTCCAGAATACTAACTCATTGTCCAGAATACTAACTCATTGTCCAGAATACTAACTCATTGTCCAGAATACTAACATGTTGTTCAGAATACTAACATATTGTTCAGAATACTAACTCATTATCCAGAATACTAACTCATTGTCCAGAATACTAACTCATTGTCCAGAATACTAACATGTTGTTCAGAATACTAACATATTGTTCAGAATACTAACTCATTGTCCAGAATACTAACTCATTGTCCAGAATACTAACACATTGTCCAGAATATGTCTTCATCAAATTCGGAATATTTTGCCATCAGCTAGCTGTTATATATTAGGAATTAATGATTTCAGAATCAACATCATAGAATGCCAGGTATAGCCATAGATGCTGTGCCTCCCACAGCAAATGTCTTCTTGTGTAGATGCTGATGGCTCCCACATCAAATGTCTTCTTGTGTAGATGCTGATGGCTCCCACAGCAAACGTCTTCTTGTGTAGATGCTGATGGCTCCCACAGCAAACGTCTTCTTGTGTAGATGCTGATGGCTCCCACAGCAAACGTCTTCTTGTGTAGATGCTGATGGCTCCCACAGCAAATGTCTTCTTGTGTAGATGCTGATGGCTCCCACATCAAATGTCTTCTTGTGTAGATGCTGATGGCTCCCACAGCAAACGTCTTCTTGTGTAGATGCTGATGGCTCCTGTAGCACAATATAGAAGGATGCAGAATGTAGCATGGTTGTTTATGAAGCTTATATCATCATTGCAATCATCATCATGAATTTCCACTTCTGACATTAAGTGTCATGGGGAGGAACAGTTTGTGATTCATTGCTAGATGGATAGTAATTGCTATAGTCATTCCAGGTCCATATAGAAGCTCTTTAATGTCATCAGTCTGTTTTCTCCTAAGGCAACCTCTTGCTTTCACATCAGATCTTTTCATGTGTAGCGCCTACATTGGTAGTTGTTCTGGCTGCATTCTTACTCAATGACCGAACCCTTTAATCTTCTGTTTCTCAATGAATTTGCTGCATGATGTTATTTCTGCAGTCTGTCTGATAGTGTTTCTAACTTTGTCATGGATGGTTAAGTTTTTCTTAGGCAGCTCATTTCACATGTGTTAATGTTAGGTAAGTTAGCCTTCAAAATGTAAGTCTGACAATGCTTGCATAGTGTTGGTATCAACGTGCTGTTTATAATTTGTTCCTTGGTGTTCATACTGATGTGTGGATGTCTTAATGGTGTTAGTTGGTATATAAGTACATTGGCTCATTGGAATTTTGTTTCTATTTCTATTCTCCCATCCTTCAAGAATATATTACTAAATTTTTAAATTCTTTCACTTGCTTCGAACAAGCAACAAATAGTTAGATCATGCATGTGAAGATGATATTGGTTAAAAAATAAACCCCTGAAGCCCAAATGGGGAATCATCATCCTTTAGCAAGTCCGCTGTTTCTCCAACTTGTTATGGTATAGGGTCTTACTGTTGGAAAGATTTCACGAGTTGTGTCAGCAGTATTGTAGCTTTGCTAGAGTTCTTAATGTCAGATGCGTCAAGGGATTGGTTGAAGAGACACTTGTAGCTAGAGTAGAGTATGGGCAGTCAAAGGTTGAGGAAAGTATTAAAGCATGCTTGTAAAAATAGGATACACACAGTTACAGGTTCGATGCAACACTACAACTTATCCAGCTTTATGGTAATACATGACAAAGGCAGTATAAAGAACAGTTGGTACTTTTGAAACAGAGCAAAGAAAATCATTGCCTGTTCTGACATCCAGAAACTGCTCTTAAAGAATGTTCTCAAATTACATTTGTGGATGTGGAAAGCAAGAAAATGTCTTCATCTGTCTTTCTGAAGGTTGGATCACCCCTGAGACCAAGCATCTTGTCCTGGCTCACAAACCAACAGGGCAAATACCAGATACCCTGTTCAACCTGCAGAGAAGTTATAATTGAAGCACCCATAACAGCAACACTGACCTGATTAAGCAAGAGCAAACTTTAACACAGTCTTCCTCAGAATATGTTAGTTTGGTGACATACATTTGAAATGAAGAATTACATGATACAAATCTTGATGCTGTTTTTATCTCCGCAGCTCTCACATGCTTATGCACAAATGATTTATGCTTCAGGTGTATCTTTCTGCTAAATTTGCAGGTGCTGACTAATTAAATTTGCTTGCCTAATTTGCAGAGTAACTTTATTAACTCCTCCTGCACCAAACATCTCATCACACATACATCAGCTACCCGTACATCATATCCTTTAGCTAACCCTTTCTATCCCAGCAAGTCATTAACTTATTTACTGTTGGGGCCATCATAAGTTAAATTTAACTATACGAACGGAAGACGTCACATTAATGGTGTTTTGAGAACACAGGGAGATCAGTAAATATGTTCATATGTCTAATGTCTGGGACAGGAAGAGTTATTGGTCCCTTTCATTGCATGGCTCATGTCATTATAGTGTCATTAATTGTGCTCCAATAATCTGTTTCCTTGTAACAGACTATTACTCAATAACCATTGGACTGAAATTGGTGACTTTTGCATACAATGATGTCAGAATTATTTCATGATGGGTATTGTTTTACTAATACATGTTATTTGGGTTTGCTCTTTGCTTTTATTTGTGATAACATTCCTTTCATGGTATGATAGCAAACCTGTACAAATCTGATGTGAACAATTGTAACATGTTTTGACCATCAGTACGATAACATGCACAACATATGCTAACATGCACAACATATGCTAACATGCACAACATATGCTAACATACACAATATATGCTAACATACACAACATATGCTAACATACACAATATATGCTAACATGCACAACATATGCTAACATACACAACATATGCTAACATACACAACATATGCTAACATGCACAACATATGCTAACATGCACAACATATGCTAACATACACAACATATGCTAACATACACAATATATGCTAACATACACAACATATGCTAACATACACAACATATGCTAACATACACAACATATGCTAACATACACAATATATGCTAACATACACAACATATGCTAACATGCACAACATATGCTAACATGCACAACATATGCTAACATACACAATATATGCTAACATACACAACATATGCTAACATACACAATATATGCTAACATGCACAACATATGCTAACATACACAACATATGCTAACATACACAACATATGCTAACATGCACAACATATGCTAACATGCACAACATATGCTAACATACACAACATATGCTAACATACACAATATATGCTAACATACACAACATATGCTAACATACACAACATATGCTAACATGCACAACATATGCTAACATGCACAACATATGCTAACATACACAATATATGCTAACATACACAACATATGCTAACATACACAATATATGCTAACATGCACAACATATGCTAACATACACAACATATGCTAACATACACAACATATGCTAACATGCACAACATATGCTAACATGCACAACATATGCTAACATACACAACATATGCTAACATACACAATATATGCTAACATACACAACATATGCTAACATGCACAACATATGCTAACATGCACAACATATGCTAACATACACAACATATGCTAACATACACAACATATGCTAACATACACAACATATGCTAACATACACAATATATGCTAACATACACAACATATGCTAACATGCACAACATATGCTAACATACACAACATATGCTAACATACACAACATATGCTAACATACACAACATATGCTAACATGCACAACATATGCTAACATGCACAATATATGCTAACATGCACAACATATGCTAACATACACAACATATGCTAACATGCACAACATATGCTAACATGCACAATATATGCTAACATACACAACATATGCTAACATGCACAACATATGCTAACATACACAACATATGCTAACATACACAACATATGCTAACATACACAACATATGCTAACATGCACAACATATGCTAACATGCACAACATATGCTAACATGCACAACATATGCTAACATGCACAATATATGCTAACATGCACAACATATGCTAACATACACAACATATGCTAACATGCACAACATATGCTAACATACACAACATATGCTAACATGCACAATATATGCTAACATGCACATCATATGCTAACATGCACAACATATGCTAACATGCACAACATATGCTAACATGCACAACATAACTGTTTTCGTTCATCCACATACATTATTGCATTGTGCCCGTTTACAGCAGAGCTGCGACATTTGTGCTTTTTGGCCGA